GCTCAATTTTCTGTCTACTTGATTTATGATTTTTTTAGTGCTGGAGGTTGATGATAATATTTTTGAACGTGCACCCTCACCTTCGTTCAGTATGTATCTCATTATTCTAGTGCTGATTTTTTTACATTTGTAAATAGGATACTCAATGCATATTCCAAGGTGCCTACAAAGACAAAATTATCTTCTAGGGAAAGGTAATACTGGTTTATTCTCATTGATACCCATGAACACAGGCAATTTCCTGAAGGCCGATGCAGTGAAGTTCAAGTAAAAAAATTACTTAGTGCTTGTTTGTCAAAACTAATAATTTCTTACAACCGACCGATCTCTATTTTTTTTCACTCTTTTGGTAGGACCCATATCTTGTACCTACTTTTAACCACACATTCGTTATGACCCATTGCTTATAATCAAGGGTAATGCTATTTATATTGACTCGTGAAAGTGGCATTAATTGACTTGCCCTCATGAATGGAGCTCATATCTTTACATTTAATATGACAAGTCAGTTAATGCCACTTAATTGACACCTAAACTCAGAAATAGCATTATCTACAATCAATTATAAGCTTTGACAAACTTGCACTTGTATATTTGAAAATTTGAGACCTTCACATATATGCAACTATTAACTGATTCACTGCAAAACATTGCATTTACAGTCTGTTTCTCTGCTTATAACGATCTGGTGTATGATTTACTCATTCGTGTACTTTATTATGTGTGGGAGTTTTGTATAAAAAGAGGACAGTTGAGGATTATTGTAATCTCAGGATTATTGGAAAAAGGATGTCAATGGGATCACTCAAATGACTCACTGGGGCTTCAAACTATATCCATTTTCTGGACCCAGCTCATTCAAGATGATATTTATCCTTCATTCAATGAGTAGTTGTGCAATGGCGCTCTTTATTATAAATTCGTTGTGATTAACATAACATATTTTCCTCAAACTGTTATGTTGTCATGGTTCTATTATCGATTAACTTTGAGTTTAAATGCTTGTTCATTTATCTTGCTTCCAAGGGTATGATGATTAATGAGTTCTTTCTAGAGTAATTATCTAGAATGAAAGTTAAAAGAGGACCTGGCTTCCTGCTCTTGGAGAGGAGTAAAAATGAAGTTAGTCATTTAACTGGTGAATTTATGGAAGCTGTAGAATTTGTGCTAAGTAAACACTGTTTTCAATAGTAACCCACATGACATGATGGAATTCTTCGTTACTTGAAGATTTACCTGCAGCAAACAGAGACTATATGGGTCCGATCAAATGTGTTTATGCTCTATTAAATAATTTGAGTCCGTTTCTTCAGAGTCTATCCTTCTTCTTGCACCTCTCAATTAATGTTGTTACATTCTAGATCCATGTCACCTAAGCTTTAGGCTTAAGGGGTAACCAGTCAGTCCTATTTTCCAGTTGGCCTGAAATATTATTCGAGCTGCAACTTAACCCCTACACTTCCAACTTATATGTTGTGGTTAACGTATTTTCAAGGGGATGTGTATTTACCTGGTCGAGTAGATTATTTCTGCTGTTTTAAATATGTTACTTTAGACACATGATAATATAAGTATTATCGTTTTATGTTTCAGGATTCGCTTCCCTGTTTCCTGTTGTAGAGACTTTACAAATGTCGTAGGCAACCCATATTTTCATTATGCTGTGTCAATCATTTGCACTTCATTGTTTGTTTGTTCGTCTATCCCACTTGTCAATTTA